CTCCCTGACCCCCGTCTCCCTGCAGCATCCTGAGCTACGTGGTGGGGCTGGGCTGGTTCCTGGCCTTGCCCTGCCAGCCCCTGGCCCCCCGCACCTACATGTCGGAGAATGCCATGGGCTCCACCATGGTGGAGGAGCAGTTCCTCTTCGGAGAGCGGGCTCTGTCCTACGCCCGCGAGTTTGCCGGGCACAAGAAGAAAGTGGGGTGAGAGCTGCAGAGTTCTGGGGGGCTGCTTTTCAGGGGTTGTCAGGGGTGTCCCCCCAGGGGGCTTTTGGGGGGCTCCATGCTTCCTCTCCCCCTCCCCAGGAGTGTATTAGGGGCAGAGGTGCCCCCAGGGTGTGTTTTGTGATGGGGTCCATCCTGCCTCTCCCCCTCCCCAGGGGCATGCCAGTGGCCTGGCTGGAGAAGACAATGTGGAGCCTGGGGCTGGAGGTGCACCGGCAGCCCTTTGCCCGCACCCTGCCCTTCCCCGACGAGACCCGCGAGCGATACGTACGTAGCCCCCTCCCCACAAACCCGGCACCCCCTGCCAGCCAGAGCCAATGAGCATCCATGCATGAGCCCCAAGTTAGGGTGGTGACTACCAGGGGCACAGGATGGCTTGTCGCCCATCTTTTCTGTCCCGCACCACATCTGTTTTGGGTTTAGTTGTCCTTGAGAAGCAAGTCTGTTTTAGTCTGTTAGCTGGGAATAATCAGGAGAGGCCTTTGCTGGCTGAAAAGGCATTTTGTTTAGACTGATGTGGGGAAGAAAAGAACAGTTTCCCACAGTCGGAGTCCTGGCTGAGGATGCTCCCAGAGCCCCCTGCCACATGAAGTGGAGGACATGTAGTGAGGCAGTTCTGCGGAGTTGCCAGGACAGAGAATTGATTAACGTAATTTACTCAGGTAGCAGATACAAAAAGTTTGGAGTTTCCATTGATAAATGCTGTAAATATTGGAGCTTGAGTTAGTAATTCCAGGGTAACACCCAGCAGAGCTGAGGTGCAAGTCTTACCAAAACAGCTTCCCTGTTTCTGTGGGGGGAGGATTGAGACACCTCAGCCCATTCTGGCAGTTGGGGTTCTCTTCTTCTGTTCAGCCTGGAGAACAGAAGGCTCCAGGGAGACCTTAGAGCACCTTCCAGTGCCTGAAGGGGCTCCAGGAAAGCTGGGGAGGGACTTGGGACAAGAGCAAGGAGGGATGGGAGCAGGGGGAAGGGTTTCCAGCTGGCAGAGGGAGCTGGAGCTGAGATGGGAGGGAGAAATTCTGGGCTATGAGGGTGGGGAGCCCCTGGCCCAGGTTGCCCAGAGAAGCTGTGGCTGCCCCATCCCTGGCAGTGTTGAAGGGCAGGTTGGATGGGTGGAGCAGCCTGGGCTGCTGGGAGGTGTCCCTGCCTATGGATGGTCTTCAAGGTCTCTCCAAACCAAGCTGTCCCATCCCTTGGTGATAATTACACTAATTGCTCTGTGCTCCTTGCAGAAGGTCATGCACTGCCCAGCTCTGTTCGTGTTCCGTTATAGTCAGCCTGAAACATTTCCCACACCCCCCTCCTCAAAAACCCTGGCACTCCCCCCTCCACCACCCTGAGGCCGAGGATGCCCACTGAGCCCTCTCCCCTTCTCCTGGCAGATGGTGAGGGGCACCAACGTGTATGGCATCCTGCGGGCGCCGCGGGCGGCCAGCACGGAGGCGCTGGTGCTGAGCGTGCCCTGCAGCGAGGGGCCCCAGAACAGCCAGGCCCTGGGGCTGATGCTGGCCCTGGCCGCGCATTTCCGCAGTGAGTCTGGCTGGGGGCTCTGCACCCTGCTGGGGGGCTTTGGGCTGTGGGTGAGGGGTCCTTGTGGTGCTGAGGCTCCTCCTCCTCACTGCCTGTGGAACGTGAGGCATGGGAATACCGGGCACACACTGCCTGCTGTGGTGGGAGGCTCTGGCTGCTTGGAGGGTGGCACAAGGAGCAGGTCCCATGTGGCTGTGTTGGGCAGAGGGGCTGTACTGGGCTCTATGGAGGCTGTATTGGGCACAGGAGCTGTACTGGGCTCTTTGGGGGCTGTACCGGGCACAGGAGCTGTACTGGGCTCCATGGGGGCTGTGCTGGGCACAGGAGCTGGGTTGGGCTCTGTGGGGGCTGTATTGGGCTCTGCCAGGGCTGCACTGGGCTCTGCTGGAGCTGTGCTGGGCTTTGCCAAGGCACGGCCTGTGCCAGGCTCTGCAGGAGCAGGGACCAGGCTGTTCTGGGCTCTGCCGGGGCCGGTACCGGTACTGGTACTGTCCTGGCACAGCCGCCCCATTGTCTTCAGGCCAGATCTACTGGGCAAAGGACATAATCTTCCTGGTGAACGAGCACGACCTGCTGGGTATGGAGGCCTGGCTGGAGGCCTACCATGATGTCAACCTGACGGGTGAGCCAGGGGCTGGGGCTGGTGGGGCTGACTGGGCTGTGCCGCGGGGCTGACCGGGCTGTGCTCCAGAGGTGCAGTCCTCGGGATTGCTGGGCCGGGCGGGTGCCATCCAGGCGGCCATTTCCCTGGAGCTGAGCAGCGACGTGGTCACCAGCATCGACGTGGCCGTGGAGGGGCTGAACGGGCAGCTGCCCAACCTTGACCTCCTCAACCTCTTCCATGCCTTCTGCCAGAAGAATGGGCTGCTCTGCACTATCCAGGGCAAGGTGAGGGGCTGCTCTGTACCGTGAACAGAGGGGTCTTGGGGTGCACTGTAATACCCTCACTTGGGATGTGGGAGTCTTAGGGTGCCCTTAAGTTCCCCCAGTGCAAATGTGGAGACTTGGGGCTCCCCTAAAGCTCCATCACAGGAACATAGCTGTCATGGGGCACCTATAACCCCTCACCATGAACAGAGGGCCTTGGGGTGCCCCATAAATCCCTTCACTTTTGATGTGGGGGTCTTGGGAGACCCCTAAAGAGCCTGAGAGCAAGGAGTGGGGGTGCCCCTGAAACCCTTCAGGGTGTATAGGGGGTGCTGGGGTGCCCCTGAGCCCCTGCCCTGCTTGGGCCCATGGACCCTGGTGGCCTTGGCTGTGCTGGGTGTTTCCGCTGCCTCATCCTGCTCTCCCTCATCCCTGCCCCGCAGCTCCCACGCCCCGAGGGGGACTCTCTGCCTGCTTACGCCCACAGCCTGCAGATGCTGCTGCTGATGGTGCTGGCCCAAGCCTCGGGCTGGCCCCGCGGCGACCACGGGCTCTTCCTGCGCTACCGCATCGAGGCCATCACCCTGCGCGGCATCAACAGCTTCCGGCAGTACAAGTACGACATGACTACCCTGGGCAAGTGAGTGCGGGGCCGGGGGGCACGGCAAGGGGGCTTGGGCTATCCCCAAACTCCCTCACTGTGGACAGGGTGGGACTCGGAGCTGCACTCAATCTCCAAAACATGAATGTGGGGGTTTTGGGGCTCACCTGAAGCTCCATAACATGAACATGGGGGTCTTGGGGCTCCTCTAAAGCCTCAACAAAAGCAGGGAGGGTCTTGGAGAACCCCAAAATCCCTTCACTGTGAACAGGGGGGTGTCTTGCAGCTCCCATAAAGCTCCTCACCACAAACAGAGAGTCTGGAGGTGCCCATAAACCCTTCACTTTGAATGTGGGGGTCCTGGGGTGCCCCCAAAGCCTCTTAAAATCAAGGTGGGGGTCTTGGGGCACCCCTAAACATGAATGTGGGGGTCCTGAGGTGCCTCTAAAGCACCTTATGGTGAATGAGGGGGGATCTTGGGACTCCCCTAAAGCCCCTCAACTGTGAATGTGGAGCTCTTGAAACACCTCTAAGCATGAACAGGTGGCTGCTGAGTTGCCCCTAAAGCCTCTCACCATGAATGTGGGGGTCTTGGGGCACCCCTGAAGCCTCTTAACATGAAAGTGGGGGTTTTGGGGCACTCTTGAAACACTTTACTATGAATAGAGAGGTCTTGGGGCACCCCTAAACATGAACGTGGGGGTCCTGGGGTGCCTATAAATTTAGCACCTCATGGTGAGAGGGGGGAGTCTTGGAGACTTTAGTCCCCTAAAGCCTCCTAACACAAGGAGGGGCGTCTTAGAGACCTGCAAAATCCCCTCACTCGTGTTGAGTACAACATGACCACCCTGAGCAAGTGAGTGTGGGGCTGCAGGGGGGTCCTGGCGTGCAGTCCCCCCTGGCCATGCTGCTGCTGCAGGACGCTGGAGGGGATGTTCCGCAAGCTCAACAACCTCCTGGAGCGGCTGCACCAGTCCTACTTCTTCTACCTCCTGCCCTCCCTCTCCCGCTTCATCTCCATCGGCCTCTACATGCCAGCCTTTGGTTTCCTCATCCTCGTCCTTATCCTCAAGATATCCTTTTGGGGCCAGGGAGGGCCAGGGGGTGGGCAGGGGGCACCCAGACCTCCTCCACTCCTTTCCTTGACCCTTTCCGCTGCCTCCTCCTCCTCTCCCTCATCCCTGCCCCGCAGCTCCCACGCCCCGAGGGGGACTCTCTGCCTGCTTACGCCCACAGCCTGCAGACGCTGCTGCTGATGGTGCTGGCCCAAGCCTCGGGCTGGCCCCGCGGCGACCACGGGCTCTTCCTGCGCTACCGCATCGAGGCCATCACCCTGCGCGGCATCAACAGCTTCCGGCAGTACAAGTACGACATGACTACCCTGGGCAAGTGAGTGCGGGGCCGGGGGGCACGGCAAGGGGGCTTGGGCTATCCCCAAACTCCCTCACTGTGGACAGGGTGGGACTCGGAGCTGCACTCAATCTCCAAAACATGAATGTGGGGGTTTTGGGGCTCACCTGAAGCTCCATAACATGAACATGGGGGTCTTGGGGCTCCTCTAAAGCCTCAACAAAAGCAGGGAGGGTCTTGGAGAACCCCAAAATCCCTTCACTGTGAACAGGGGGGTGTCTTGCAGCTCCCATAAAGCTCCTCACCACAAACAGAGAGTCTGGAGGTGCCCATAAACCCTTCACTTTGAATGTGGGGGTCCTGGGGTGCCCCCAAAGCCTCTTAAAATCAAGGTGGGGGTCTTGGGGCACCCCTAAACATGAATGTGGGGGTCCTGAGGTGCCTCTAAAGCACCTTATGGTGAATGAGGGGGGATCTTGGGACTCCCCTAAAGCCCCTCAACTGTGAATGTGGAGCTCTTGAAACACCTCTAAGCATGAACAGGTGGCTGCTGAGTTGCCCCTAAAGCCTCTCACCATGAATGTGGGGGTCTTGGGGCACCCCTGAAGCCTCTTAACATGAAAGTGGGGGTTTTGGGGCACTCTTGAAACACTTTACTATGAATAGAGAGGTCTTGGGGCACCCCTAAACATGAACGTGGGGGTCCTGGGGTGCCTATAAATTTAGCACCTCATGGTGAGAGGGGGGAGTCTTGGAGACTTTAGTCCCCTAAAGCCTCCTAACACAAGGAGGGGCGTCTTAGAGACCTGCAAAATCCCCTCACTCGTGTTGAGTACAACATGACCACCCTGAGCAAGTGAGTGTGGGGCTGCAGGGGGGTCCTGGCGTGCAGTCCCCCCTGGCCATGCTGCTGCTGCAGGACGCTGGAGGGGATGTTCCGCAAGCTCAACAACCTCCTGGAGCGGCTGCACCAGTCCTACTTCTTCTACCTCCTGCCCTCCCTCTCCCGCTTCATCTCCATCGGCCTCTACATGCCAGCCTTTGGTTTCCTCATCCTCGTCCTTATCCTCAAGATATCCTTTTGGGGCCAGGGAGGGCCAGGGGGTGGGCAGGGGGCACCCAGACCTCCTCCACTCCTTTCCTTGACCCTCCCCATGCCCTGGACCTCTGGATGAAGCTGAGCAAGTGCGAGACAGGCAACTCTGAGCGGCTTTGGGACAGCGACCGTAGTGCCGGCGAGGTGGGACCCTTCCCCTGCCCTTCCCCTCCCTGTGCACCCCTGCGGGTCCCCCACTCACCCCGGTGTCCCCGCAGGAGCCCCGGCCCGGGCTGCTGGCGCTGGTGCCGCCGCTGGTGG